TGTGCTGAGACCATGTTGATCATTATGACCTGGCGTGGTACTCACTTTTCACGGGCCATGTTTCATTTGATTGAGAAGGGAAGAGACATAACTGCTGTTTTATTTGAGAAGAAGTAAGTAATTGAATCTGTAGAAGATAATTTGATTTCTTCTGCATTTGAAATTTGATTAGTCTATACTCTTCAATTTGAGAGTTTCTGAGAGTGTTTTAATAGTTTTCATATCAGCTTGAAATTATTGATTGATTGAAGAAGAGAAAAGAGAGAAGAAAGAAATGAGAACAACTTATCTTTATAATATAAAAACAGAGAATTGCTGTAATCATTTATTCTAGTAATTAGACTGGCCGGCGGGACCATGAATTTCACATTTGGTCCCATTTGGTCTGGTCTCATACATTTCTTGGCGTGAGTCCCACCAGGACCAAGCCTCAAAAAAATCTGAAAATGGACCATTTCTGAGAGAAATGGTGTGAAAAATGACCAGATTTAATTCAAGAACAGTGAAATGAGAGTAATTTCTCAGGATAAACTGTGAAAGATGATCATTCTTCTAAAATCAGAATGGGACTGGGACTGAAGATTAAAATCAGTCCCATTCAGTTCATTCAGTGATTGCTTATATAATCAGAATTTGGTAACAATTATTGATAATGCTCATGAAACAACTAAATACATTCTTGTGTAAGTTTATTCTCCACTTTCTCATGAAAACTACACTTCTCTGATATACTGTGATCAGAGGTATTAAACTGTCTGATAATTCCATGTTTTACAATCATGAGTTTCTTGATTGTTTCTCCTTGTAATTGTCCCCAGTGATAGTGATAAATATCTCAACTTGAGTTGAACTTTCACTTCATTCTCACCTCTATCAATGGAATTGTTAGAATATCACACATCATCAGTGCAACAGTTGAATATGTACTCTCAACAATTTTTCATAACTCTAGAATTGATTTGGCGTGTAAATTTGTCAGATCATCTTGAAGATAATGATCAAATTCAGTTTTACAAGTATGTAGTTTTGCCTGATTTTCAGTTGCAATCAATGTATGTAAGTTCTGTTTCAAAGTTAGTATTATAGTCCTATGAGATATGAAGTATTATCAAAGATCATTACTTACTAGGGAATTGTATTCCACTGTCTTCACATCTCAAACATCTGCTTATTCAAATCTCTGATAGTTAGCATTGTAGTAGTCTCAGGCTAATTTGACATACAAGTCTCATTTCTCCTCTGTCCAATCTTGAGAAGTGTAGGTGTTAACTCAATGAGAGAGATCTAGTAGAGCTGCTACAGCATAGTACTCTGTAAAAGGTTGTTCAGTTTTACTGTAGTAATATGCCAGTTTATTCCTTACAGTAATAATAGCCTGCACTATAGCATCATTTCAGACTGAATTTCTTTTTGAGTGATTCAACTGCTTCTCAAGATGAGCAAATAAACTGTTATACACTCACCAGACTGACTGCAGCATTGATATATAAGTGATTGAGACTGTCTTTGTTGTCTTATAAAACTGAAACAGTAAATCAATCACATATTTCAACTGAGTTCACTTCATATCAGAAAGTTTCAATATCTGAATCTTTTCTCAATCAGAGTGTTGCACTCAATGATCAATCATCTGATGCAATTGAAGAGTCTAAACAGTCATCTCATATATTGAACTTCACTGTGTTCTAACATTCTGTATCATATTCAGTGATGTGACTGATTTGTTTATTTGTTGAATATCATAGAATTGTTGTTGTTGTTTAGAAGAGATACAAATTGCATTAGTAATATTTTGAATCTATGATATTTAAATTATTAGCCAATCTATTCAAAATTAACAGTAGCATTATCAAAAAGCATTATCAAAAAGCAATATCAAAAAGTGTTATCAAAAAACATTATCTTTTGCAAAGTGAATGCAAAAGTTACTTGAGTAATCACTTTCATCTCATTCTCATCCCAAGAATCAGCCATCTCATTATTCTTCATCTTGATGTTAAGATTCTTTACCAGTGTTTGCATCACAAGTTGAACCACATGAGCAATGCAGAGGATATGACCTTGTTTATCATTTCAGGAATGTAAAGCCAATTTTTGCTCCAAGCTCTTCATCATAGTGTAGTTATTTGCAGCATTATCAGTTGTAATTGCAAGAAGACTGAGACTAATATCTCAATAGTCATTTTTAATCACAGTCATTAATACCTCTGCCATATAATCCTCAGTATGACTACTGATTAATGATTCAAATTCAATTAATGTCTCTTGATAAGTTCAGTTCTCATCAATGTAATAACATGTAACTCTCATAAATGCAAGATTGTTTGTACTAGTTCATGTATTCACAGTGAGAGACACTCTTCAATAATTCTTCAACTCTGATTCTAGATGTTGCATATTGACTTTGTAGTGTGTCTCAAGATTGAACTGAAGACAGGATTGATGTGGAATATGAAGATTTGAATTAAGCATTTGAAGAAGTGTTTGGAATTCGGGGTTTTCAATTGATTGAAGAGGAAGATTCAGAGATATACATATACAAAGTAATTGTTCATGGAAGTTATCAGGTGAGAGTTGTGAAATCAGAGTACTGATACATGGTCATTTTCACATGATTTCCTTCAAATTAGAAAGTTAGTGTTATCAAAAATCATTATCTGATAGAGCAACTTACCAGCTCAGTAGTAATTTTCTGATTATTTTTCTTTTGTTGTCTGCATTCTGATGACTTCAGATGTCAGGAAATTTCTTCAGAGCTATGACTAGTTCATGATGAATGTTTCTGAATGAAGTTGCAGTGATTGTAGCAGAGAGATGACTCTTCAGTAATCTGCAATGCAACCTGTTGATAATTATTTCATAGTTCATCTCAATGTTTGTGTTGAGTTTTTCATAAATTTCATGGCCTGGAATCAGATGTGAAGAATGAAGTAATCATCTATTATGATTGAAAAAGAGCATTCTGTGTTGAATTGTAAACAACATAGACTTTGTGATTCACAGTGATTTCTTGAAGAGTTTGTGAATCTTCAGTAGAAGTAAAAGAAGTGAAAGAAGTGAATTCAGAAGATATGATAATAATTTGAGAAAGATAATAATTTATTTTCAATAACTGATCACTGATGTGTGTAAGAAGAATTAATATAAGAGAAAATAATCTTGTTTCTTAGCTTAGTTATAATTTTAGTACTAACTCAGATTGAATATCATTGATGTATAAAAGTAAACAAACAATCTTGATTAATCTCTATCATATTTCTTGAAATATATTAATATTGTAAAAGAGAGTGTTATCAAATTGTATTATCAGATGATATCATTAAAAATATATTAATATTGTGAATATCAATGTTGAAAAAATGTTGATACTTATACATTATAGTGATTTGTGAATCATGATAGTTAAATATATATATATATATATATCATTCCTGACTTGATTACAACTTGTACAATAATTTTTGAAAACTCAAAATCAATTTTAATTATTAATAATTAAAAACTTAAACTTATAACTAACTAATATAAAAAGAAAAAAATCTACTTCTTCTCTTTCTTATTCTTCTTATCATTCTTCATAATTTACTTCTCATTCTTCTTCTCCTTCTTCTTCTTCTTATCTGAGGTGATAATCATCTCAAAATCTCTCTTCACTGCCTTCTCAGGGGAGAATTCCCACTGCTCCTCCTCAGCCAGGTCAACCTGCATCTCAAAATCCCGCATTTCCTGGTCTGCTGTCTTGGGTTCCACCTCAGTGGTAAGCAGATTGGCATGCTCAGAGAGCAGGGCTGCCTTCTCAATGTTCTGAATCATGGAGCACATTTGAGACCTGAACAAGGCCTCAATTCTCTCCTCCTCTGCCAGCTTCTGCTAATTAATTAGAGAACAGAAGTGTTATCAAAAATCATTATCTCTCAATAAGTAAAAAACTTATCAGTTTTAACTTCTTTATCTCTCACTTTAATATTCTCTCAATCTTCTTCTGTCACTACTTATTTATAGTAATACTCTTCTTCTCTCTCTCTCTCTTCATCTTGAACTCAAATTATTCTCAGGACTTCTTCTGATCTCATCACTGCTGTATGAGACTCTTCACTGTCTTCTTCTTTAATCTCTCACAGGCAGTGTCATTCATATTATTTCTATACTTAGTTCAGTCTAAATCTATTAGAAGTATTACTTAAAATCATTATCATTCTGCTCTCTTGCAGAGCCTCTTCAAGACATTATAACATGTCTTGTGATCTGTCTCTTCTCACTTGAATGCCTTCTTCTCCTCTCTCTTCAATCTGTGACAGTGCTCATGCGCCTTGGTGGTCCGCAGGACCGCAGAATATTTGAAGAGGAATGACATGATTGATTTCAGTGAGTGTTGAAGAGAGGTGAAGGCAGAAGAGGCGGCCCAGAAATGATATGATAATGATGATGATAGTGATGATGATGATGATAGTGATGATGATAATAGTGATGATAATAGTGATAATATTGATGATGATGATGATGATGATGATGATGATGAAAGAAAGAGTGCATTGAAATATATTACTGACTTATCAAATATAAAGAGACAAAGAAAATATTAACAGCTTTCAGAGATATACAGAAACAGCTACAGTGTTGCATAGCAACATCATCTTCATTCAATACATGCAGTGTTGATATTCTTTGTATGCAGTTATCATATAATCTATATCAGAAATACATGCAGAAAACAGATCTTTGTTGCTAGAGAGAATGATTACAGCAATTCTCTGTTTTCATATTATAAAGATAAGTTATTCTCATTTCTTTCTTCTCTCTTTTCTCTTCTTCTTCAACTCATCACTAAGTTCAAGCCAGTATGAAAACTATTAAAACACTCTTAGAAACTCTCAAATTGAAGAGTATAGACTAATCAAATTTTAAATGCAGAAGAATCAAATTACATTCAATATTACTAATTATTCATCCCCCCTCAATAAAACCACAGTTGCGTCTTTCCCCCCCTCTTCAAACAAAACATGGCCCGCGAAAAGCGAGTATCACACCAGGCCATAATGATCAACACAGCCCCAGCATGCAGGGCTGCATACATGCAGCGTGTGCTGGACTGGGAGACTGCATGGATTGCAAACCAGCACCAGCATCTCAGAGAGAGCCATGCAGCGTGGAAAAGCTGTAACCCTCAGCTATGTGCACAGAGAGTGAATCATCACAGTAAGTGTATGTGTATTGCATGAAAGTAACACTTTTTAATAACACTCAGTCTCTGATATCATGAAAATAGAGTCTCTCTGTGAGATTCATTTTTATCAGAAGTCAGAGAATCTTATATTTTTCAAGATCATCTTCACCTGCCTTGTCTGTGAAATCAATGAGAGAAATCATTGATTTCAGTGTTCTGTTCTTGATGTCATTCAAGTGACAGCAGAGTCCACTCTGGCCACACTTTTTAAGTGTATGTTTTCTAAATATTCACATTTATACAGATATATACTGATTATTTATTAGATGATATTAAGACAATGACTCATCACAGCTGTGTTACTCTCACTGTGAGAGATACACAGTTGATGATGAACATTGCAAAGACTCTGAAGAGTGAGTATTTTGAGAGTACTGCAGCTCTGTGACCTTGATTTTTTTTTTTTTTATTTTTTGTTTTTTTCTTTTCCTTTTCTTTTTTTTTTTTTTTTCTTGTTTTTGTTTTGTTTTTTGTTTTTTGTTTTTTTTTTGTATTTTATATTTTTTTCATAATTAAAATTATATGAATTATGATCTGTGTTCAGAAAAGTAATAATATTTGATAACACTCTCTGTTGAATTTTCAACAAATGAGCACTATGTTATGATATTATGTAAGTGAGAAGTGATTTCATAGTTTCATTTGATGCCATTCTCAATAATGAGATCAGAATGAAAATGTAACTAAGAATTCAAACATATTCTTTATTCAGAACTAGATTTTTATTTGAAAAGTGAATCTGAGATCTTTAATATTTGAAATAACATGATTTGAAATCAATGTGATAAACACAAACCATGATCAGGAGTAATGCTTTTAGGCAACATGACAACTGTAAAGTTTGGTCCTGGTCTCAGACACGGTCACACGGTTAGTCTACTAGTAATAAAGATCTGTTTTCTGCATGTATTTCTGATACAGATTATATAATAACTACATACAAAGAATATCAACAGTGCATGTATTGAATGAAGATGATATTGTTATATAACACTGTAGCTGTTTCTATACATTGCTGAAAGCTGTTAATATTTTCTTTAAGTCTCTTTATATTTGATAAGTCAGTAATATATTTCAATGCACTCTCTCTTTTATCATTATCATCATTATTATCATCACTATTATTATTATCACTATCATCATCATTATTATCATCATTATTATTATTATCATCATCATTCTTATTATTATCATTATTATATCATTTCTGGCCATCTCTTCTGCCTTTATCTCTCTTCAACACTCACTGAAATCAATCATATCATCTCTCTTCAAATATTCTGCAGTTCTGTGAACTATCAAGGCGCGTGAGCGCTGTCACAGATTGAAGAGAGAGAAGAAGAAGACATTTAAGTAAGAGAAGACAGATTGTAAGACATATTATAATGTCTTGAAGAGACTCTGTAAGAAAGTAGAATAATAACAATTTTAAGTAACACTTCTGATAGATTTAGACTGAACTAAGTATAGAAATAATATGAATGATGCCATCTGTAAGAGATTGAAGAAGAAGACAGTGAAGAGTCTTATACAGTAGTAATAAGACTAGAAGAAGTTCTGAGAATGATTTAAGACTAAGATGAAGAGAGAGAGAGAGAAGAAGAGTATTACTGTAAATAAGTAATGATAGAAGAAGATTAAGAAGATGTTGAAGCAGAAGACAAAGAAGTCAAAACTGATAAGTTTTTTATTTATTAAGAGATAATGATTTTTGATAATACTTCTGTTCTCTAATTGATTAGCAGAAGCTGACAGAGAAGAAGAGAATTAAGGCCTTGTTCAGGTCTTGAATACACTTTATAATTCAGAACATTGAGAAGACAGCTCTACTCTCTGAGCATGTCAATCTGCTTACTGCTAAGGTGGAACCTGAGACAGCAGACTAGAAAATGTGAGATTTTAAGGCACAGATTAACCTGACTGAAGAGAAGCAGTGAGAACTCTTCTCTGAGAAGACAGTGAAGAGAGATTTTGAGATAATTATCATCTCAGATGAGAAGAAGAAGAAGAAGAAGAAGAATGAGAAGTGAATTATGAAGAATAATAAGAAGAATAAGAAAGAGAAGAAAGATAATAAGTAGAAAAAGTTTTTTTCTTTTTATATTAGTTAGTTATAAGTTCATAATTATTAATAATTGAAATTAATTTTGAGTTTTTAAAAATTATTGTACAAGTTGTAATCAAGTCAGGAACAATATATATATATATATATATATTTAACTATCATGATTCACAAATCACTATAATGTATAAGTATCAACATTTTTTTCAACATTGATATTCACAATATTAATATATTTTTAATGATATCATCTGATAATGTAATTTGATAATACTCTCTTTCACAATATTAATATATTTCAAGAAATATGATAGAGATTAATCAAGATTGTTTATTTACTTTTATATATTAATGATATTCCAATCTGAGTTAGTACTAAAATTATAACTAAGTTAAGAAACAAGATTATTTTCTCTTATATTAATTCTTCTTACACACATCAGTGATCAGTTATTGAAAATAAATTATTATCTTTCTCAAATTATTATCATATCTTCTGAATTCACTTCTTTCACTTCTTTTACTTCTATTAAAGATTCATAAACTCTTCAAGAAATCACTGTGAATTACAAAGTCTATGTTGTTTATAATTCAACACAGAATACTCTCTTTCAATTATAATAAATAATCACTTCATTCTTCACATCTGATTTCAGATTATGAAATTTATGAAAAACTTAACACAAACATTGAGATGAACTATGAAATAATTATTAACAGATTATATTATAGATTACTGAAGAGTCATCTCTCTGCTGCAATCACTGCAACTTCATTCAGAAATATTCATCATAAACTGATTATAGCTCTGAAGAAATTTTCTGACATCTGAAGTCATCAGAATGTAGATAATAAAAGAAAAATAATCAGAAAATTACTACTGAGCTGATAAGTTACTCTATCAGATAATAATTTTTAATAACACTAACTTTCTAATTTGAAGAAAATCATGTAAAAACAACTTTATATCAGTACTCTGATTTCACAACTCTCATCTGATAACTTCTGTGAATAATTACTTTGTATATATATATCTCTGAATCTTTCTCTTCAATCAATTGAAAACCCTGAATTCTGAACACTTCTTCAAATGCTTAATTCAAATCTTCATATTTCACATCAATTCTGTCTTCAGTTCAATCTTAAGATACACTACAAAGTCAATATACAATATCTAGAATCAGAGTTGAAGAATCATCAAAGAGTGTCTCTCACAATGAATACATGAACTAGTACAAATAATCTTGCATTTATAAGAGTTACATGTTATTACATTGATAAGAACTGAACTTATTGAGAGATATTAATTGAATTTGAATCATTGATCAGTAGTTATACTAGGGATTATATAACAGAGATATTAATAACTGTGATTAAAAATGACTATTAAGATATTAGTCTCAGTCTTCTTACAATTACAACTGATAATACTGTGAATAACTACACTATGATAAAGAGCTTAGAGCAAAAATTGACTTTGCATTTCTGAAATAATAAACAAGATCATATCTTCTGCATTACTCATATGATTCAACTTATGATGCAAACACTGATAAAGAATCATAACATTGAGATGAAGAATAATGAGATGACTGATTCTTGAAATGAGAATGAGATGAAAGTGATTACTCAAGTAACTTTTACATTCACTTTGTAAAAGATAATGTTTTTTGATAACACTTTTTAATATTACTTTTTGATAATGCTTTTTGATAACACTACTGTTAATTTTGAATAGATTGACTAATAATTTAAATATTATAGATTTGAAACATTGTTAATGTAATTTATATCTCTTCTAAATAACAACAATGATTTCATAATATTCAATAAATAAATAAATCAGTCACATCACTGAATATGATACAGAATGTTAGAATATGATGAAGTTCAATATATAAGATGACTATTTGAGCTCTTCAATTGTATCAGACAATTGATCATTGAGTGCAACACTCTAATCAGAAAAAGATTCAGATATTAAAACTTTCTAATATGAAGTGAACTCAGTTGAAATATGTGATTGATTTACTGTTTCAGTTTTATAAGACAACAAAGACAGTCTCAATCACTTGTACATCAATGCTGCAGTCAGTCTGGTGAATGTATAACAGTTTATTTACTTATCTTAAGAAGCAGTTAAATCACTCAAAAAGAAATTCAGTCTGAGATAATGCTATAGTGCAGGCTATTGTTACTACAAGGAATAAACTGGTATATTATTACAGTAAAACAGAACAATCTTTTGCAGAGTACTATACTATAGCAGCTCTACTAAATCTCTTCTGTTGAGTTAACATCTACACTTCTCAAGATTGAACAGAGAAGAAATGAGACTTATATGTTAAATTAGTCTGAGACTACTACAATGCCAACTATCAGAGATTTGAATAAGCAGATGTTCAAGATGTGAAGACAGTGAAATACAATTCTCTAGTAAGTAATGATTATTATTATTATTATTATTCTTCAATTATAGATGTATACAGTCAGAGACTATGACATCTACCTGAGAACTTTAGTTCTCAGGGTTTTTTCTATGTCTGTAAAGTTAACTATTATACATTCATCAATTTCAGATATGCAAAATCAGAAAATTCCAGCCCAGAATACAAAAACTGTTTACAAATTGCAGTGTTTTAACATCTTTTGATACTTTGAAACCATTTGACAATATCATGACAAAAGAAAAGAGAAAAAGAACACAGTCTCAAAGATAGACACATTAAATAAATAGATAGAAAGAAATTGAAAGAAAAAGATAAAGAAAAAGATAAAGTAAAGAGAGACTATAACAAAACAAATTATTAAAAGAGAGTGTATAGCTGTTTTAACAGACTATATCTGATTAATTTCCTCCTCTTCATACTCAGATAATTCTGAATTTAGTCATTTTCTTATAGCTGCTTGAGTTTCTGATAGAAAGTCTATTAAGTATTTAATTCCTGTCTCAGTTGAGAATAAGAATCTCATATTTAATTGATTTAGATCATACTTCTCTTTCAATCTGACTCTGAGACTATTGTATAATGCACAGTGCATTACAATATACTCAGAATTCTCATTTGTATTGCAGAATGAGCATTCTATTGAGTCAAATCTATCATCAAATCTTTGTATATAAGATTTGAAATAGCCATGGCCCATGTCCTAGTTTCAGCTGTATTATAGATGAGAATATTTTCTTTTTACATTTAATTGAACAAGATTTCCACTTGGGTTTTATTTCAAATCTTGAATAATGTATACTCTTCTTTTGTTTCTGCCAGCTTTCATTCCACTTGTCTAAACAAGATTCTTTTATTTTTCTCTTTATAAAAGATCAG